AAATGTAGAAGATGTAATGTGTAAATGTTAGGTCAAATGATTTATCCACACATTTTGGGGAGGGATAATTCTTAAAACCTACAACTGAAATATTTTTGTCTCTTTTTTCAACGAATTAATATCGCTGATTTTACTAATACAGTCGATACTAGTAATAAAAAAATATATAAACGCATATAAAAATAATTAAAGATATTTCGCGTTTGAATAAGCATAATTATATTACGGTGGTGCGATCTAATGTATGTTTTTTCAAAAGTCTAAATACACAAAGTATGCAAAGTGTACAAAATATACAAAGTGTACAAAATATACAAAGTATACAAACTATACAAAGTGTACAAACTATACAAAATATACAAAGTGTATACAAAGTGTACAAAGTATAGAAATTGTACAAAGTATACAAAATGTACAAAGTATACAGACTACCACGTCTTCAAACATCTGAACAATTTTTTCGACAAACAAATTACTCCGACAAGAACACACTGTAAAAGTAGCATTAAAATAATTTTTTCATTCAAAGACCAATGATTTTTATATACTTGAAACAATAAAACTAGTCAATCGTTAGGACAAGTGTATAGAATCGCGTGGAAATTACTTGCATTAAATACATTCTATTTTGAAGAAACGCGACGTAACCCAAGTTTCATTTGAAGAAACCTAAACGTAACGAAACCTGCAGTAATTACTCGTGAAAGTTTCGCCAGAGCAATAGCGTCCGCTACGAGGAATCAGCGTCGTGAAATTACATCTGTGGGGACGACTTTGATTGTACACTACCGGCAGAAGCCATTTCTTCGAAACCCTTGAAAAGAATGCCGGTATTTCATTGTCAACGAGAAACATCATCCTTCGGGCTACGTCAATGCGATTCCCGTCGAATTCCCATTTTATCGTAAACACGTTCGAAACTTCCTCCAACTTTCATCGTAGCACGTTAAGAATTGCTATCGATTAATCGTCGACGAAAGGAGGCAGAAGCGGAAAACGTGGAAAAATTCATTTCCACCCCGTGTACACGTGTACATTGCTGGCGTTTAACGATTTGTCAAATCCGTGTCAGT